TACTCTACACTGTACTTTTAATGTTATTATTTAAAGTTATGGATCACCTTACAATGTAAAGTAGAAGTTGCATCACGAGAGTAGGATTTCATTTCGTATTTTCGTTGGTCGTTCGGAATCCTACTCAATCTTGTTTTTTTTAATTTTTTATGTTCTTGTTTGTGTTTATAATATTTTTTTTTCAGTTACAATTGTGATAATTTTTGATTTTACACAAACAATAAGTTTCTTTATTATTGTTGTCATTGTTATGATTTTACAGCATTTATGAGGGACAGCACTGATTGAATTGAATAGATATGGTGAAGGAATATCTACTACACTGATGACAAGTGAAATGAATACTATAGTCTTGATATGAATCCTTGTTCAAGAAGCTCTATCTTCCCAGCAATCCTGTAGCTATTCCTGCAGGTTCTTCCTGTTGTCAAGTTCATATGTGACCATAATTGACAAAAGGTGCCTTATGGCGGGTAGGGAAATTTGTCTTTCTAGCCTAAGAAATCCAACTTCCTGAGCCCCATTTATCATAAAATTACTCCACAGGATGCAAAAAGTTACCATGAAACTTTTAGAAACAATGATTGTCTAACAAAGCACTCACAGGTTGATATTTTCCATTATAATGATCAATTTTAAAATCCGCCATAAGGGCCCTTTTGTCAATTATGGTCACATATTATCATTAGTATTATAAACATTAATTAATTGTTTTGTATTTTTGAAATAAAATAATTCATTACACACTTGATATATGCAAGATTAATACCTTCTCTTAGCTGGAAACCTCCACTAAGTATTGCAATTTGATTCCAAGCATAGCTAGCCTAGCTAGGTAAAAATACTTGCTGTTCCCAGTTCTGAGATCTGAGCATGCGCGACCACGCCCAAATTTTTGGAGCACATGCTTCTTTAATTAACAAAATGGCGGCATGAGGTAAGCTGGTGCGATCCAACAGTCACAGTATCACTTCTTCCTTTCTTGGAGAATGATTCTAGGGGACAAGGACCTGCGCATACCCTGTTGGAGTAGAATGGTATAAGAATTAGCCTTCTATCACTAGGTAAGATTGATATATCGACCGACAACTGGATTGACAGGAGATCATGATGATGATGATGATGATGAAGATGAAAAAAGGTGGCTGAACAAAACGGCTGGTTTGCAGATTTTTTATTTTTCTCCCAGAAAAGGTCTAGAGCCACGCTATTGGTACCATTGGAGTCCTCTGGTCAAGATAAGGTCCTCTAAGAAGTCTGGTAAGCATAGGAGCTCGTTTTCCCGGTATAGCAAGGCTGCAAAAGTCGTGGCAGCCATTTTGTTTGGGGGTGAATCCTACTTAGTAACGCTACCGCGTTACTAATAGTACAGGGATTTCAGCCAAGTTTCATCAAAAATGAAAAGGAGAGAATTCCCCATTTTTATAATTTTTCTACTACACATACATGTACTCATGTTGTTTAGAAAGTTTTAATTATTCCCGATTAATTTTAAATTTTTTATGAATTTTTAGAATTTTCAGTGAAAGTAGTACAGCAGAGACTAGTGTTATATATAGCAATTTTGAACTGATTCCAATTAAGTTTAAATTTTTTAAAAAGTTGCTCCAAATTCCATGCACTGTATTGTAGTGCTTGTTATCTCATGAAGCTCATGCCTGGGAAACCCTTACCAAGGCTATTTTTGATGATAAGTCATGGAGTGGTTACACTAGCACATGATACTCACAGAAACTTGTTAGCGAGTATTTGATTTAACAAATTTTAGTGATTTTTTAAAAAATTGCTAACTTGAATCCACGCTAACGTATAACTTTAATTTCTCATTAAATCATTAATACTTATTAATATTAAATGATCAAAAACGCTAAATTGAATATCAGCCAAATGTCAGTATCATGAAAATCGCTAAAATAAGTACATGCTCCTTAAGGTACATGTATGTTCTCATGAACATTATATATATAGTATAAATTTATTATTGTGTATGTGTACGTGATATTTGGCTCACAACCCAAAGAATTTGTTAATTAATTTTCTGTGTTCAAACATCATATGTTACTGTAGGATGGTCTGTTATGCATCAAGGATAGAGTATATCAAGAGATTGTGGAGAGATATGGTTTCAAGTTAGAGTGTACTTATGCTGAGAGGGAAACAATGGAAGAAGTCCTTGAACACATTGAGACAAAGTTAGAAACTGCAGCTGTGAATTTAAATATTATTTTGTTACATTTTTTGCTAGTTATTAAATTAATAGTCTTACATTGTATATTAAATCCCTGATTCTATACCCAATAGTGAATGATATGATGTCAGCAAGTGTGGTGAAATAAGTGGTATATTTTGATTATAGTACAAATGCAGTATATAGACTAGATCTACAATCTCAATAATATTACGTAATTAAAAACAAAAATATGCACTCACAATCATCCTAAATTTAGATGCTGCTAAGTTTCGTAAAAGAAACATGTTCATAAATATGGATCCTTCCAACCAAGTGATGAAGAGAGAATGAAAATAGTGCTATCACTCTTGATTCTGAGCTAGTTCATCGAAACAAAGAAGTTAAAAAAATTATCAGGAACTTATGGAAAGAGTTTATGATAGTATCTGTTAACTAATGTGGCCTGGTTGCTTGAGTTTGTATATTGAATAGTCATTATAATGCAGCCAGATTTCAATTACTTTGTTTATACAAATTACAATTAACCTATTGCAATGGTTAGATAAACAAACTTGTGCAAACATGTATAGCAAACTGACATGACATTCCACAGCAAGTGTATGTTGCAACAGCAGCAAATTGCATAACAAAATGAAATAAAAATTGTGTATGAAAAATAGCCCAGTATCACTATAAAAATTATTAAGAAGTTAAAAAATGTACATTCAATCGTCCTCATTACTTTCAAATTTTATAAGCTGCTCAACTTTTGTAAAAGAAACATGTTCACAAACTAAATCCTTCCAACCAAGTGATAAAGAGAGAATGAAGTTAGTGCTATCACTCTTGAAGTGAGCTAGTTCATCGATAAAACTTGATATTCCATGTCCCGTAAATGGATTATGCCCAATGTCAAGGAAATTAAAACTGTGACTGCTGTTGGAGTCAGTAGCAGGTTCTTCAGATGAGCCAAAAAGCTGCTTGAGCATAGAGCACAGATGAGCACCTCCTTCATCATCAATATAATTATCCCTCAAATTAAGAGCTTCTAGATGGCGAGACATTAGCACTGCATCAATAACAGTACGAACACTGCTAGAATCAATGGCACAATTAACTAGCTCTACTTTAGTGAGAGTAGAGGAAGGGAGTGTTGTGGGTAGGAGGCTGAGGTTCTCTGGAGTGCAATGACTTTGTTCAATGTGTAAAGCTTTGAGAGACAGTGAGTTAGGTAAGCATTCAATGACCTTTTCAATGCTACTGGATCCCAACTGGTAAAGCTCAACTTTACCAATACTAGATACTTTGGTTAGAAGTACTGCACACTCATCAGGACTAAGGTTAGAAAAAGTAAAACAAAAACATTTAAGTGGTATCATCGCTTCTATCAGGCAGAGCTGTTCACCTTCCTTAAGCAAATTGTTATGGAAAAATAATTTTCTCAGGTTAGTAAATTTTTTCAGCTGTTTTGAAAACTCTGTGGCTGCACAAGAATGAAATTTGCAGCTCATTAGACGTAGTGAAATCAAATTCTTAAGAACATGCTCAGGAAATTGTAGCAACTCTATTATTCCTTCATCTCCAATTGGATTAAGAGAGAAACTGATATCCTCTATTGTACACAATAGGCCAGACTCTACAGAGTTCAATCCTTTTTGAAATTCCTCAACATACTCAAAAGTCATTCCGCGGAGTGTAAAGCTCAATCTCCATTGACAGCTACTAAGTGCTATACACTTACCAAGAATGAACATGTCTTGAGGTGAAGGTATAGGCAGTAGGCGACGAACCTTGTAAAATTTATCCTTGTTGCTGAATAAACTTTTTGTGAGAGCTTCATTTCCAGATTCATATAGGCAACGAAATAGGGTCATGCTGTACAATTTGTGATCAACACGTGGGGATATTGATTGAAGTTCTGTCAAACCAGATAAAAAACAAAGTACTGTCGAAAATTTTATTACATTTCTTAAACTATTAAAGGTATTTTCAATTTTATCTCTTGGCATTTGAGAAATGTGGTAAGCCGCAAGAAACTCTTGCATCGTGAGATGAAGAAAGGAATAAGCAATGACATCACCACCCATTGCTGGATAAACCTGAACTTCTTTCTGCATCATGCCAAGAGTCTCAATATCTTTGCTAGTGTAAAATAACAGCTCAGTGTCTCTTTTTCTCAACCCATCATAAGCCATTTTACACAGACAAGAGAAATCTTCTTTGTACAAAGAAGGAAGATCATGCAAGGCAACATTTATCAACTTACGTGGGCCCTCACTTTTAATGTGTCGATACAGTAACATTTTGATCATTGCCTCATACAGTTTAGTTGAAGTTACAATACCTTTAAATGGCACTTGCTCCTTGTTCATAATGTACTGCTGACAAATATTGCATATGATAAAAAGATTGACAGGGGTGTAGAGACAGTCTCGTACTTTTGGTGACTCATCTAAATATTGATTGAAGGTTTTAATATACTCAGGGTTGTCTTGAAAAAAAATCTGGATGTACTGACTGATACTTTTACTTGTAAATCCAATTACTTCAATATGATGACTAAATGTAATCTCTTGCCTCAGATAGTGCTTTGCTGATGGACGACTGGTATAAATCAGTGAAGCAAATGGCAACTCTTCTGAAATATTTAAAAAAACTGAACCTGGCTGTGTAAGATCTTCTGGTAACTCATCAAACCCTTCAAGTATAACAATCAGACCCTTTCCACTTTTATTAAATATATGTTGAACAGTGGCATCCTTCCAATTCTGCTCCGTCAGAAAACAACCCAAGAGCTCTCGCACTGATTTGCAATTTTGTATAACCCTATCTCTCAGACGAAGTAATAACAAAAGAGGATATTTTTTCAATGCTTCTCCCTTGACCCACCGACTGCATATCTCAAAAGCAAGCATTGACTTTCCTATCCCTGGGGCACCCTCAATCAAGACAGCTTCTCCATACTCAATCCTGCATAGCTCCTCAAGTGAGAGAGGCTCTTTATGATGATAAATATCATCAGCAGTTCCATGTATTGTAGATAATGAGAAAGAATCAGAGCAGCCTTGCTTTCTAACAGATGCCAGATCAACATAAAATTTTGACTGAGTGCAAATGCTCATCTTAAAACATGACTTTGGGTCAGGCTTCTTTTTCTTGTAGCATATCTTTAAATGATCAGAATATTGCTTTATTGAAACTTGAGATATTACATCATTGCCATAAGCATCATCATCTATTATTGTATAAAGAGATTTTCAATTAAGTATATACTTTTCACAAAAGGTAAGTCAGAAAGTCTTGTGCCTTAAGCCCCTTATGCATGCACTCTAGTATAGTAATATGTTGCTAAGAATAGAACAGCTTTCAGTTCTTGGCAAAATCTTGCTTACAAGATCAAAGTATAACCCCAAATGCTGCGCAATAGTGTATGAATGCCCAACATATACAAGTCTATTTAAACCTGGCAACTTATTGCTTGCAACATTTGTGGTTACTTCAATACTGTAAACAACATGTAAAGCTGTTGGCAACATTAGTATGTTAAGGCAAGTTTAGAATACATGCTAGGCCTGACCATAGTATCTATACTGAAATAGAATTTGGTTTAAAGCAAAGTCAAATCAGTCACACTTTTGACTAAAATAGTGTCATATTGTAAACTAAATCTAGCCTTGAAGCTATGTTTACAGTTGACAAAATGGTCAAAATTGTGATTTTTGACTCAAAATTGACCAAATTTTAATTTTGTGGGAGCGTAACTGCAAAGTTGTGGCTGTTGTACGGATTCTGTGGTTAGCATACAACAGACTGTTTTATATAGGCTTGACAGTCTTTAGACTGTTTTAGGGCTTTAGCTTTATGTGCCATACATTTATCAATAAATCCATAGTCAAGATAAATTTTAAAATTACCAGAATAAATGGAGGAAGCTTTTTTAGCAATGACCATTGAAGATAACTTTGTAGCCTTTATTGATTGAAGAGGGATACAAATTTTGACATCAAAAGCTACAAAAAAATTAAATCATAAAACTATAGTGTACATTGGTAGCACTACCTTCAATCCTCATTTTATCAAAAATTTGATTAAATTCTTCAAAATTTTGAATCACAGAAGCAAATCGTAGAAATGCACGATTAGGATTTCTAGCTCGACTGATGAAGGTAGATACATATCTCATCATTGCTTTAATTTTGATATCCAAATTTGGCAATTGCTGTACAACATCTTGCTCTGCTGACTCAATCAGAAATTTATCTACTAGTAGTTCCAGCATACTGTTACAAAGGATAGCATCTTTTCGAAGAATACTAACTATCTGATCACAGTATCTATCAACAATCTTCCAGGCACATTTCCTGGTATCCTGAGTACCAATATCAACCAAATCACTATTTGAATGTCCATAGCTATGACTCGGTTTTTGAAGATGTGACAGCTGTTTAAATTTCTGTGCACCTGTATAAAAGAGTTGAGTTCTAATTACATGTAAATTACCTATTTTGATGTATATAATCTACCTACTTTTATGCTCAACTGCAATAAAAAGTAGCTTCACACAACAAAAAGTACCTAATTGAATCTCAATTCTCAATTCACTTTTGCTGCAGCTATTGCTTAAAGTATACTTGTTTTAGCATTTAAAACTATGTTTTGTGTATATATAGTTCCCATATAGAAATGCCATTAAGGTTGTCGTCACAAACATATAGTTGGCAGCCTCACTAAAAATAAAATATGACAACATGCATCCTGCCACAGGCATGTGATACCACTATTTGTATGCATGTATATATAAATTCAATTAATTGCTGTACAGCTTCACAAGCTTGCTTACTATGTTTCACAAGCTTGCTATGTTTTGCAATGTTCACAAGCTTGCTTGCCTATGTTTGTTACAAGGGCACATGTATAATTATTATGCTGATTGATTATTATTATTATGTGATTATTGTAGGACTCTTGTTTCTTAAGTGATCATTGCAAACTTGACAAAAGAATGAGACCACTGAGACAAGAGCACATAAAGAAAATTAGAAACCTGAGACTGATTTTGTTCGCTCTAAAGTTCCGGCATTAAACATGCCACACTAGCAAAATAACAAATTGCTCACAACAATAAGAGTGTGCGGGAAATTGGAATATGTAACAAACAATCATAATTGTTAGCTATTGTGCATTATTCATTACACTATATGCATATAATCAGCTTAGGCTACTCCAATTAGATTCACTTACCCACCCACACATGCCAGCATCAGCAATCAATTATTTTGACTATTACTTTATAGTCTTGTAGATACAAAATACATTGCTTAATAATACTTCATAATAGTGACCATTTCCTTGAACTTAAGGAACATACATTATATACATAAAAAATTAACGAATATTAATGAAGCCACTTGCATGCATCAGCTCCGACGGTGAAAGGAGAAACAAGGAATCTAATTGGCCTTAACATGCTGACAATATTGTGTTCTGGTCAATCTGGTGTTATTCTTATTTTGATAAATGAGTGCAGTTGTATGATAACAAGCTGGTTGTGACAAGGTTAGTACAGATTCAAATCCAATTATATATATAATGTTTTCACCAAGGTTTTCATGAGGTTGTATGGCCATGTGTGGCCAATGCTCTCAGTTGTGACAACACATGATAGCAACAACATGCAGGCTGGCTGGTATTTCTGTATGGGTTACATTGCATTTAAGATTTCGATCAACATTGGTATAAGATACTATGATACTATTATACCGTACTTGATGTCTGGTGCTTGTCCTGATAGTACCGACACAGCCTCTCCGCTGCTTCTTTGTTATTGCATTCGATAAGAGCTTTCATTAATGAGAAGTACGTTGCATCTGATCCTTTTCTTTCTCGCCATTTCAAAAACAGAGCAACGACTTTATCTTGATCTGAGTCTTTGTCTCTATCGATAGCTGTAATTTCTGCCTCAGACAGGCCAAGACGAATACCCAATGAGCAGCTAAAATTAAGCTCGAGGTTAGGAAAAACAGTAATATCAATAGCTTTATTGAGGTCGCGTTCAGTCAGTGACAATTCTTCAGGAAACATGGGTTGTATACTACTATCCAAAGTTGCTTGACTAGCCATAGTTTGTTTAAAGATGTTTTTTTTTGCCTCGCCCAAGGGAGGTCCCCACATTAAAAATATAAACGTGAGCGACACTAAGTGAGCGTG